GGTACTCCAGCCCAACCCAGGGGCTTTGAGCAGCTCCAGTGGCCATCCCTTCTGCTCCCCATCTGCCATCTCCATCTCCCTGATCAATGCTGCATTTTTCAACACTCTTCCTTTATTTCAGTTGATTTCCTGAATTATTTAATGACTATGGTGGGAAGAGACATAATTTTACAGGCAGAGGGACAATAAGTAAATTGGAAGGGGACGCTGCAGGGGCATTACCAGGTCAGCCTTACATGGCATCTGTAAGAGTCACTGTGCTGCAAACTCCCTCGCAGAAGGGGAAAATCAAGAGCTATGGCTTCAGGGAGCTGAAGTCTGGGAAACCTCTGGACTTCACCTCACTATCCCATTTGATCCTCTGCAGGACAGTGGAGTCACCTCCTGCCAGTCAGGCCACTGACACAGCCCACCCGATGGCTGCCTGAGATGAAAAGTTAACCCTCTCATCATCTCCTCCCTCTCACTCCTTGCCTGCCCGAGGTTGAGACCTGGCAGGGGCTGCCTCGCCTGGCAACCACGCCGGGATGAGCACAGCCATTTTGTCTCAGATCTGTGGAGTCCCTCAAGCCGAGGCGGAGAAGCGCTGCTGGAGCACAAGCTGAGCTCTGCTGGACGTGAGCAAGGTGCAGAGCTGCCACCTCACTGGCCAGGCTGCAGCTGCACAACCCATTTCTGCTGTGCCCTGACACCAGCTTCTTCCTCATGCAAACACAAAGCCCTCTGGAACGGACCACTGAGGCAGCGAGTTGGACCAACACACCCAAAGCAGTGGCTCTGACAGTCTGTGTATATGGATTTTTCCTCCTATTGATTAACCCATTTGGAGTTTATTTGTATTAAGGCTGCCTTGCAGCTCATTTATGCTCTCTTAATGAGGCCCCTGCAGAGTCAGTGCCTCCTGTGCATTAATTACAGGCTCCAGCACAGCCCATGCTTTACAGAGCATCCTACACCCATGCTCCACCTCCACTCTGTGGTTTGTACACTTGCCTCCCTGGGACAGGCCCTGCACTGCCAAATCCCAGACCTGGTCTGCCCAGCAGACTGCAGTGGGACAGAAGGTACACATTCTCGGAGGAGGATCAGAAATAGCTATGAAATAGCTGACCACATTGGGAAGGAATGACCATTCACAGCACAGCCCTTTTATAGTAACAGGGCTGTAGAATAAGCCACCGTCGTATCTTCCTTCAACAATGAACAGCACTATCGGGGAAGATGATTTCCTTTTTCAGAGAAAGGAATCAGGATGTTCCGTTTCATCTTCCTCCATATTCCAGAAGCTGTGTCAGCCCCTCTATCTGCAGCAGCTGGCACAGTCTATGTCCAGCTGTCAAAGTAGTAGCAGAAATAAATGCTGTTCCAAATAAAGGTAGTGTGTGTCTAAGAGACCCCGAAAAATCTCTCACTTCTGTTAGAGGCACAAATGCCAAATTGATATCTATGATTTGTTATTTCTGGACTAAAAAAATAAGGGTACTATAGTAACAAACACTAGAAAAGCCTAATAAAAATAGGAAAAGACTTGAACTGAAACAAGACACACACAGAAAGGCTAGGGTTACCACAAGAAAACACTGAGCAAGTAATGAAAAATTCAACTTACCATGAAGCAGTGAAAGTGAAAGCACCAAGGAAGAGTTGCTCTTTCAAAAGATTAACCCTGAGCTCATTTCAGATTTAAAACCACAGCACTAACAAGCCACAGAGAATCACTGATCACTTTCTAAAGCTTCCCCACCTGCTCTCTTTCATCTTTAGTTTGCATTTAGAGGACAAGAGCTGTGAGACAAAAACACCTCTACACGTCTGGGTAACATCTAACACTATACGAACCTAGCGTGGGTCACAGTCTACAAGCACTGCTGTCACAGGAGTTAAAGCACTGCTGAGACAGCTGCCACACAAAACCGATTTGAACTGCAAACTACACTGTGGATGTTCATCAGTGACATAATGAATTCATCGGCAGCAATCCACCTGAAAAGAGACAGAAGTGGTCTGTCTACTTTTTTTGCAGCTGGGGAGGAGATGGTGGGAATCACAAAGAATGTCACGTGAACTGGCAGAGCAAGATGTGCCATTTCTCTTCTCAATAAAAAAAGGGTGTATGATACTGGGACGGGAAGGCAGGTTTCTACAGCCTCAGGTGGCATGTTCCATATCTCTGAATTTGCAGGGTTGATGAAACAAGAAGCAACTCTCTTCAGTGTGGTGTAGGACAACACAGAGGCCCCACACAGGCTAAGTATGTCTCAAAACTCTGGTTTGGCTGATGTTATTGAACCTATGGGAGAAGTAAAAAAAAAAAAAAAAGATGGACTAGCAGCTCTCAGGGTTGAATACACTCACACTGGGCCTGGCATTGTAAATGCAGTGTGCAGTGCATCTTTGGGGCTGTCCAGTGGTCAGCTTGTGCCACTGCTGATTCATAACTGATAAGCCTCACCTAAGTCTAAGCAGGGCCCATGCTCCAACACAATTTGCAGTGAAAGCACATGTCACAGGACAGGAACGATGCCAATTTGCCTCACTTGCACAACTCTGGCAGCCGGACAACTCTCCACATAAGCAGGAGGCCAATGTACCTCATGCTTCAGTGCCACTTCACAACACGCCCAAAGCTGCTTGTCCTGACCCTAATTCATTGCTGAATCACTGTTGCAAACACATCACATATTACACTTCATTAGCTTGCAGTAATGTGTATTTATACACACAGAGTCTCTCTTTTGCTTTCAGATCATACTCGTCTTAGCTGGAAAAAGCATTAGTGTTATCATAGCCATGGCTGGCCTAATGCTATATATGGGCAAGAAAATATTCCTTCTATCACATGTTACCACTTTCCTTTTATCCCCTCCTTCCTGCTGACTTCAACAGGAACAGCACTCTTTCCCTCCCAAATTTACAACACCCCCCCCTTGCAAACGTCCAACATATGTTGCTTCATGTGCCATCAAAGTGTTCAATATAATGAATTCTGAACACCTCAACCTGTATTTAGCTCAAAGTTCACTGCTTCTGTTTCATGTCCAGCAAAGGGACTGTTCCCAAAGCCCTATTTTGTGGGTCTAATAAGAGATTTATTACCTCTCCTTATTACTACCTTGCAAAGAATTAAAAAAGCACAGTGGAAGTATATTATATTCTCTTTTCTGAGTTGCTAAAATGGTAGTTCATCATGGGAACCTGACTATAACACACTTTGGAAGTTAATTTTCAGTTACTGTTTTTGAGATTTAACAAAGACACACTCAAATGACCTACCATCAAACATGTAGAAGCACTGCCAGGACAGCCTGCAAAGCACTGACGCTGCCTGGCCAGCCCGGACTGCAACCACAGAGCGCTGTTCCTCCCTCCCTTGCAGAAAGGCAGGTCCCTGGGCTCTGAGCTACCTTCACTACTTACTACTTACATCACTGATTGATGTTCTGCTCTGAAGCAACAGAACCAGCCATCAGGTTGGTGCTAAGAGCCAACAAACCGAAAAGGCACCTTTCCTCAAAGCTTGGACCATTCGTTACAAATTACTTGTCCAACTGGCAACTGGAAAGACAGCACTGCCTGTGGATACCAACAAAGAGCAAAAACACAAGAGGAGAGAACAGTCAAACTACTGCACAAAAGATCTCAAGGGTGTTAAGGACAAGCATGGAAAGAATGATTTAAGAACATAACACTTGCCAAATCAAGAGTAACCTCCCCTAAGGGTGTGTGGTCAATACAGAGGCCATTTAAAATGGACGAACCAAGACAGCAGTACAATGGAGTACAGAGTCCTTGAAGAAAGGGCGGAAATGGCATCCAGCAGTAGACAAAGGCTTCCTGTGGTAAGTTCCTGATTACCTGGAAACACCTTATCACATACCTTCTTCCCAGAACCTGCTGTGCTTTCTGCCATGTACCGTTTTACTAGGAGTTGTCCTTGGATGCCACAAATACCAGTGTGATCCTACTTCTGGGGCCACTGGACATCTCAATAAGAAAGGGTAGCACCACTGTACCATAAGCTTTGGCTACATAACTAAAAAAACATTTGTGCAGATGTTTTTTGTAGGCAAGACTCTTGAGATTTATTTTGAACTATAAAAGACTAACAAATAGCACTGTCTTGTTAGACATGCATACGGACAAATTCCTGAAGGAGTCTAACAGCAAAGAAAGTAACAAGTGAGTGGTAGGACTAAGTCCCTGTGCAGCTCTGAATGACCACCACAAGTTTTCTTACAGCCTACCTGTGGGAAATGGGGAGAAGAAGAGACTGTCACAAGTGAAAATATGTAAGATTTCCAATTATAACAAAACAGAGGATCCAGTTCATGTGGAAGTCTGACCTTTTATCTCATGTTGGCTCTCTTCTTCAAGACCTGGATGACTACTGTCCAATAACTCTATTTCTGGTTACCAAACTCTTACCTTTCTTTTACACGAGGCTATCAGAATGTCAGCAGTAAATACAAAAGGCTTTAATAAAAGGGAGCAATAAGATACCTCAGTATTAGGGGTATGAAATGGGAGGAATTTTGCTGCAGCTTTGGGTCCTCCTCCACAACAGATCATTGCAATAAGTCACAGTAAGCAGCATAAGCATCCAAAACAGTTCCAAACTAGCTGTGGTGACATTCCTGTAATGCAAGCCTAGGAAGAGCAGAGCTTTTCAGTTCACAGCTTGGGGTCGGGCTGTCAAAAGCTGCAGTGACCAGTCATATGGGCTTTCACTCCTCGCTCAGAAGGCATAAAATTGGAGCAGCAAAGGCTGCAAGTGTAAACCACAGATGCTCTCCAAACAGGGTTTCACCCCTAGCCCAGGATGATGGAAGGGACCAGGGAGCTAGAGGTCAGCTCTGTTCAGAATGAGATGCTGCAACTGTCCAAAACAGCCATGTGACAAAGCTCCTCCAACAGTTGTGGTCTCACAAAATTAGGAATCCTCCTGGGTTTTCCACATCTGTTTCTACAGGACAAAGAGGAGTCAGCCTCAGACTTTAGCAAGCTGGCAAAGTTGGAGAAGACATGACGAGTTATTTTAAAAAACTGTTTGTTTCTAAGTGAGCATTTTGTTTAGTCTGCCTGTACACCCCCAGGTAGTTCTACCACTACAGGAGCACAGTCATCAGGTTCTGCTTCAAAGTCCCATTTAAATTTCTTCGTTAGGTGAGCCTTGAATTTTTCAGCCTTTTTCCTTAGGGTCCCATCAACAGCAGCACTGCACGTGCAGGAAAAAAACACCTAAAAGAACAGAGTAGAAGTCAGTAAGAGCTCCATCATAGTACAAGCTGTGCATCTCTTTCCTACAAAGACATCATGAACAGGGTGCACCAGAACTTTCACGTTAAGCCACTGGTAAGGGATCTACCACACTGGAAACCACTCCAGCTTTGGGGCTACCTCAACAATGCTTACACTTCTCTCATCCCACAGGCAAGAAAGACATCCTACCTTCACTCCAAGTCAGCATTAGAAATATTTGCACTAAGGTATGAACTTTGTTTCAAACAGGAGTATGTAAGCAATTAAGTATGTACTATGGAATTCTAAACTCGGTTAAGTGTGAGCAAAGTGTCTGGGCAGCAGGAGAAAAAAAAAAAAAAGGATTATCAGTTTTCATGGCCACATAGCCAATTTTACAGCATGTGTCAAAAAGGCCAACAGGTAGTTATACCCACCTTTTTGATAGCTGGGCCAGGAGATCCCCCAAAGTATTTTTATAATATAGTATCACCAACACCTCAGGATACAGAGGAAACTTAATAAAATTTATCTTGAAGGTAAGAGAAGCTCCCTGGAAAAAGTCCAGTTATCCCCAGCACAGCCATTACCTTGAGCAAAGGACACTGAAATCTGGACTAATCTCTACAGGTGGCTCTCCTCTGTCATCCAAACACACATAAGTCTATTAACTTTTCACAAACTCACAGCTTCTGTTAGCACTTTGAGAGTTAAAGCACCTGTGTACGATTAAACAGGGCATTTAGCCTCAGAGCCCATTGTTCATCAGCCTGCTTTTGCTCCTCTTCTGAACTTGTGATGCAGAATTCATTTCCATGGGAAGAATCTTATATTTCAAAGCCAAAAAAAAGAAAAAAAATCATTGCATGATGGCAGTGAAGGGAAAGCCCTCTGGGGAAAAAAGCAGTTTCTTATTTGGGAGAGACCTACTGGACAGCAAGCTAGATAAAACACTGACAAGGAGCAGCAAAGTTCGTCGCTTTGTTTACGATCATCTGCCTTTGCCCTGTTCATTCTACCATCAAACTGAACCTTTATAACCGAACCCTCTTACACAGCAAGGCTGCTATTAAAAACATAATTTAAAAAAAGATTTAAAGATTATACTTCCCATTTCTCAATGAAGTGCACATTAAAGTAGTTATTCCATCAATATTTTTTTTTATTTAAACACTGTTAGGGCTGCATATTCAGTGGAGGTTATGCTGTACCCTTCTTTCTTAGATCAAACTCCAAAAATAAAGTTGCTGTATTCAAAGCTGAGCAAAAGCTAACACAGATAATACACTCCCCCCACACAGACCATTTTGCACCTGCCCACATCCAGTTAAGACTGTTAACTCTGATGGCTGTGTACATAAAGTGACTGGGTAAGGCAAGTCCCAGAGGTTCCCTGGCACTGTTCAGCACATGAGGGAAATCCCCCAGGAGCAGAGAAACAGAGAACTTTTAGCAAGGAGAGGCTGAGTTCAACCATAAGGCAATTTTTGTCTTTGTTACTAGCAATGCAGTGACTCCTGCTAGGGCTTAACGGAGATTGCTGGAGCCAGCGCAGCCACCTAAAGGCATCAGCTTCTACTGCTTAAATAAAAAACACAGACCGATGAAATCCAAGGGCATACAAGATTCAGGTACCCAAAAAGGGAAGATAACGAGCAAGACAGGGTGCTTCCAAAATTCCCATCAGATGGAAAGAATGCCTGGTTGACACATTCTTTGCACTGCTGTAAACACAGTGTAAAGTATTGGCCTGCGAGTGTGCTGCAAAGAGAGCTGGGTTTTCCAGTCCTATAATGGGATGGAAAAAACAACCACCAAAAATAAAATAAAAGTAAAAAAACCCAAGACTTTTATGAATCTAAATTGAAAAAAAGTGAAGAAAGTCACTTGATTAAAGCAATGCTTCCCATAACATTTCACTCAGCAAATTAAAAACAAACACCTCCACCCTCCCCAAAGCTACAGGAAGAACTTGGAAGTTACAAGTAGAGAAATGGAACCATTCCCTGAAAAAGGAGAACGCACGACCAGTTTGCATCAAGCACCTGCAACAGAACTTACTACTGTTTCTGCTAGGATTAAGTTTCCATTGCTGAACTTCACCAGTGTATATGGTTTTGGCTTTTCTTTTTTTTTTTTTTTTTTTTTTTTT